GCACCCATCACAATACCCAGCTATTTTTTTTTCATAGAGACAGGGTCTCTTGCTCAGGCTGGTCTTGAACTCCTGAGCTCAGGCAATCCACCTGCGTTGTCTTCCCAGAGTGCTAGGGTTACAGGCGTGAGCCACTTTGCCAGGCTCTAGAAATTATTGATTAGTATTCAGCCTCTTTTCTAGCCCCTTCCATATTTCCCTGTGTTGCAGGGGCTGGAAGGCTCAAGCCTCCTTTTTCCAAGTTCCCCTGCTGCTATCAAATGCAACTTAGGCTTGGCCAGAGGGAAGCATTACCGAGAGTCTCAGAAGGCAGAAGGGATGGAGGTAGAGGCTTGCAGCATGGTGGCTGATGGGAGAGGGGGAGATCTGGAAGACATGAGATTTTTTTTTTTTTTTTTTTTGCAGCTAAAGACTATGTTCCTTCTACTTTAGTGTCACCAGCTTAATGGATGTACAACTGGGAGATTACAATAATTTTCTGCAAGGTGGCAGCTGTGGTGGTGTGACCATGAAGGATACAGGTGGCCCAAACTTCTAATCCTTTAAACCTTCCTACATTTAATTCCCTACATTAAATCTTTCTGCACAAAATACCTTTCTGTTTCCTGCACTGAGCCATAGATTAGCTCCTTTACCTTCCCCACAAGGCTAGAGGGAATCTGAAAGATCACACATTTACCCAAAGAGACATCCAAAAAGGGACTGAGAGTCAGACTCGGTTGGTTACCTACTCAACAGCCATTCCCCACTCTTCCCTAGCAGATCACCTTCCCTTATGGAAGCCTGGCCTCTCTTGCACCTAGGATTTGAGTATATAACTCAGTGGTTCTCAACCTCTGGGTCGCAACCCCCAGGAACTGTATTAAAGGGTCGTGGCATTAGGAAGGTTGAGAACCACTGATATAACCCAATCCTGGTCTGAGGAGTGTGTAGAAGATGAGTCCTAGGACAGGTTATCTTCCCTGATAAAAGGAGTCAATCCCTCTGCCAGTAGATAGAGTTCTGTGAGAACTTGGTAGTTGAGGCAGCAACGGCCATTTTGCAATCATGAGAGGATAAGCCTGAGGCTCAAAATCTACACACAAGAATGGCAGGGTGGAAAGATAGAAAACATCAGGTGTATAATGACTTTGTTGTGCTGAATTTGTCCTGGAGACACCTACTTCTAGCAGGTGTCACCCTGACAGGATCCTTTTCTTCTGAGCTATGCAGAGGCTGGTCTAATGCCGGGAGCCCTGGGAGCTGGGTTGGGACTGGGGTGAGGCAAGTAAGGTACTTGACTTGGGTGTGAAATTTAAGGGATGGCCAAAAATCCTGGTAACCAAGAAAAATATTAAAAAAAAGAAAGCTAATGCAAAAAGTACATAAATAAAACATCAAGATTTTAAACAAAGACAGAATTAATGTTGCCAACTAAGTCTGTTCTGTTCTTGTGTTTCCGTACAGGTTTACCCCCAGGGGTCTCCTCTATGGAAATCTGTGTAATGGAAGAGGCAGGGCTCTGGGTTTGGAGAACTGGGCTCAAGCCAGACTCTACCAGTGACTGTACTGGTGATCCCAAGCAAGTCCCCTTCCTTCTCTGGACTTTGGTTAACTTGTCTGTCCTGCATGGAGGCTGGGGCATTGCCTGAATGGCCTCCTGACCTGTCCTCCTCATCTCCATGGCCTGCTGAGGTTACTGTCCCTCTTCCTGGGAGGCTGCGTCTCCAGGGCCATTGACTCCTAGCTATTAATATCTCATCCATCCCTGGCCCGATCAGGGTGTTTAATGACTGCCAGCTGTGGCTCTGGCCCCCTCCCCCGGGAAAGATAAGAGCAGTTCCTGTTCCCACATGAGGGGAGGCTGGGTCATTGCTCATTAAAATAGGCAAGCGGTGGGAATGGAGGGGCTGATTCTGATTCACTCCACCCTTGCCCAGCACACTCCCCACATGCTCCTCCCCTACTGGGCTGCCCTCATCTCTCCACCCACTTGCTTTCTGGGCCTTGTCACTTTAGGTCCTGATTCAAAGCCTCGGGGCTTCTCCCCAGATGTCCCACAGACATTATATTTAGCATGTCCCAAACCAAGTTGTCATTTCCCCAGCCCCCTCCTCTTCCTCATCTAGATGATGGACTGGCAGCTTTTCCCAGGACCACTCTATAGGCCCTTCTCAGTAGCCACCCCCATCCCTTGGCCTCATGTAGAAAAGGGCCCCCTCTGCCTGCTCACCTGGATTCAGGTATCCTTGATACCCATCATGTTCCTTCAGGCCTCAGAGACTCCTACTTAGTCTCAGAGACTACTTCAATGTTGCATCACCTGAGAAGCTGTCCTGTCCATTCTGCAAGCAAATGGGTGGCCCTTCTCAGGCTGCCTGTGCCCTGGAATTTCAGGAATCATCCACATGCTGGCCAACCATGGAGGGGATCATGGCTCTCTGCTCCGGGATGGTGGGAGGTTCCTTGTCCTTGCCTTCCCAGGAGTTACTCACCTGAGTTAACTGGGATTTGCTCTAAGGCACTTGGGTCAGGGCTCAGAAAAGGGCCAGAGGCCAGCCAGAGGCTGAATACCACCTGGGGTTGCTGCTGGGTTTGAGGCAGGGTTTGTGTCAGTGGCCTGGGTCTGAAGGCTGGGTTTTGGGCCTCTTTCCATGCTAACCCTGGAAACCAGTCCTGTGGCCTCGTCACCTCCTTTGGCTTGTATCTTCCTCTGTCTGGAGTTCAGGAGAGAGACCTGTCCTCTGTGCCAGTTGGTCTCCAGAGAAGGGGCCTATATCCAGGTGTCTGGGTCTTAAGGCCAACCTTGGTGAAGTCCTCAGAGCATCCACCAGGTGGCGATAAAGATGAGTTGACCTGGCTTGACAGGTGCCTGGCAAGACAGGAAGGGGACCTAAGATCTGGTAAGTAAGAAGGAGACTGGGAGAAATCTGCTCATGGTCCCTCCATCCATGGCTGTTTCCAGCCTGGGATGCCTATCTACAGCCTCTGCCTGCCTGAGACTGTTTCACTTTCCCCCATCCCTGAATGAACATCACTGAGCTTTTCCTCTCCTGTCGCCCCTCTGGGCAGGGTCTCACATGTTTTTATTTTTGTGGCCCACATCATGGGTCTCTCTCTCTCTCTCTTCTTCCTTCATTCTCACCCTCTTGGCTGATAACTGCTCCTCTCCCCAAGGCTGCCTAATTAACCTAAAGCCATTACACACTAATGGAGGGACTTGAGTCACCGTGGGATATAGGACCCTCCTGGACTTCACATAGCTCAGGAGGCCTGTAGGATCCATGACCAGAAAGGCAGGGTAGCACACTTTCCTCTGCAAACACTTTGCTTCTACGGGTCAGTTGGCTCCTCCAATTTCTGTTTCCACTCTCCCGCCTTCCTTTTCTGCCAGCCTGTGCTCACCTCTCAAGGAGCCCTGCCTGTTCTCTGACCTTGTTCTCTGCACAGCCTCCCTCGTCTGTGTATTCCTCAGCCTTTCCCCCACAAGATGGCTTGAGCTCCCTCTCTCCAGCTGCTGTCCTTACCCTGAGCCCAAAGTGGGTGCCAGAGGGCTCTCCTCATCACCCACCCATGCCTTAGCCAGGAGTAAGCTAAGCCACCGAGCACCCTCCCCTATTGTGCAAGTGGAGAAATTGATGCCTAGTGAGGGGTGGGGACTTGTTCATGATCTCTGAAAAAGTCTGAAGCAGAATTGGGACAAAAAGACTAAGGCTGGGTCTTCTGAACCTTTCTAGGAAGTATGGGTGGGCAAGTTCCCTGGAACCAGTTCAGAGAGGCACTAAGTAGGGAGGGGAGGAGAGACCAAAGAGAGTGAGTGACATTCGCCAGCTGGGTGAGGGGAGCATGGACAGACTGCCCACTCCCTATCTCTCATCTCCAAGCCTTGGAGTGTGGTAGGGATGCAAGATACTCAGGGAAGAATGGAACAAGTCCCAGGAGCCCAACACCCAAACTCAGCCATCCACCATCGGCACTTCATTGGCAGTCACCAATGGTTTGGGCAAGGGGAGGGAGGATGCTGAGAATACTCTCTCCAGTAGACTTGGAGTGCCTGAGTTCAAGGCCAGGGCCACTGCCTCCTTGTCAGTATACAGCTGAGCATGCACAGGGCAGGGCATGGAGAGAGTCTCTAGATGGAGAGAGTCTGCCACTCTTGGATATGCTGGAAGAGCTAATCAAAGGACATTTCCCTGAGATGCCCAGGTCTGGGGTTCACATTCACTCTTATCCTGCTGAAGCACCTCTGACTTGGGCCTGTGAGGGCATGGGGTTGGAACTGTCATTTGATGATGGGTCCTGAGCTTGCACTGAGTAGGACAAGGCTTTGAAGAAGCCTTGAAAGCACATCTGAGCCTTTGTCAGCCCATTCTCATGACTTTTTACCAGTGTGGCACTCCTCTCCTGTTCCTCCAGAAAGTTTGCAGGAGGTAGAACCCTAGGAGGTCAACTTGGGCAAGGATTTGGAGACATCTCCTGCTTACATCTTCACCATACTGCCCATCCTTTTTATTAATTGTATTGTCTCTGCTTGGTCACTTGTATTAATGACATTTGTGCTGTTCTCTCCCTCTTCTTGGCTGAACCCTGGGCAATGGTGACATGGGCATTGTATACCTTGTTTGTTTCTTATCTGCGGGAATGCCTAAGACCTGTGAAACCCTACATCTGGCACCAGAGCAGCTGTGTCAGATGTTTTGCATCGATCCAAGACTAGAATGATCTCCTTTGGGCTGGACTTAGGAATTGGGGGACACAATGGAGACCTGCTCTAACTTCATCATACTCAGAAGAAGAAAGAGGGTACCACTAAAAAAGATGGGAATTGAAGGCCCTCAGAACTATGTGTTTCTCATGTGGAAATGGGGAAGGGGGTTCCTGTCAAAAGCTAGATAGGTGGTGGCATCTGGCTTCAGCATTACTTTGGACCACCCCTCCTTGGGGTGTGGAGAGATGCCGCAAGTTGGAAGCTGGTTCCCATTTTAGGCCATATGAGAACATCAACCACCAGGAGAACCAAGCCAATCTAAAGCAATATTTATTGTTGTACAAGCCTGTTGCAGTCCTGAGGGGATCATCTGGTGCGGGTGTGGGTAGGAAGCTGCATGGCCACAGGGGTGAACAGCAGACAGATGATGCTATGAACTGACTCTTGTCCACACTCCAGGAAGAGTAGGGTGGGAACAGGGGGTGAGGAGTGATGGCAGTAACAATATTAGTGGTGATAACAAACAACCAAGAGGATCCAGCAGTTATGATATAGAAAAGGTAGCAGTTTAAGACTCTGTGTTTTCATCTTTACTTCAGCCAGATCTGAGTTCAAATGCTGTCTCTGTGACAGGGTGAGGTACCTGCTCTCTGCGAGACTGTTTCCTAACCCATGAAATAGGCACAGTAATTCCCACTTAGCTGGGTTGATTTGAGGATTAAGGGGCCCATGAGCACATGTCTCTGAGCCTGGTTACAATAGTTGGCACACAAGTGGGCAGCTAAAGAGGGCAGCTCTTGATCCCTGATGCTTCCACAGCCCGTGGGGATGTGTATGTCTGGTGTGACTGATTCCACTTGACAGATGAAGCTTGGAGAACAGGTAGGCTTACTCGGAGACCTCAGCCATTTGCTGACAGCTGTCTCCTTACTTTTCAGAGGCCCCAGAGTTCCTCAGTCCTTGTGTAGGTCCCAGACTAACTGGAACCATTCCACTTCAGAGGGAACTACAGAGATAGCTCCCCAAACCAAAACTCCGGGCCAGGTAACTCATTTGCCTTGAGGTACTGGTAGCTAAGAGAGAACAGCATCTTCACAGAGATGCCTCAATGGAGTGTTTGATCCAAACTTGGAAGCAATGGTGAAACTTCAGGCACTGTCGGGGTGGTGGTGGCTTTCCAGTACAGGACCTTTCTGCCCTCAGATCACAGCGTTGAGGATGAGCAGTTGCTTTCCTCTGATTGGGTAGAGGAGCTACTAGGGGGCGGAGACAGGGCAAAATATGCAGATTTCTTGCCCTTGATTGGCGGAGGGGGCCCCTAGTGAAGGAGTCTGACGACTGAGTTCCACCCCACATCCTTCAGGGGAGAGCTCCCAGTTCCGATACTTGCCTAGAAACGCACCAGGCCGGTGCAAGAGCTGGGTTCTCTAGGAGTGTCCGGAGTGACCTGGGGGCTAGGGCAGCCTCCGAGCCCAGGGCTGGGGCTGGCCACGCCCGAGCAGGCCTCTGTCCCCAGGGCTGGCCGGGGTGGGTAAGAAGGGGCGGGAGGGGCTGCCTTGGGCCCCTGGGGTCCTGACGGTCAGACCAGGGAGACTTCGGCTTGGAAGCTGGAGGAGCGGCGCGCGCCGGGGCTGACGCGGGTCAGCATCGAGACCTGCGTGCTAAACGTGGCTCCATTGCTGCCTCCGGACGGGTGCTGATATTTGGGCTTCCAGCCTAGGACACCCTGCAGGTGCCAACGCCGCCACTTCCGCCGCAGCTCCGCCTGCACCTAGAAGAGGGAAGGGTGGTCGGGCCGCTGCTGTGGGGGCTCCTCCTTCGCTGATTGGGCTTCTCTTGATTTAGGCTGCTGAGCCTAATATCCTCTTTGGGAAGTCTAAATGGAGAGACCCGGATTCTACCTTGGTCAGTAGAATTGGGACTGGGTTCGACCCAAGGTCAAATCAAAGTCTTAAAGTGGGAGGAGGTGAGAGGCAGAGAGAGGATCAGAGAATGCAGTCTAGAGGGGGAAAGGGCTGCTGCCTAGGGGCCGCTGTATCTATCTTCCCTGTCCTGGCCATCCAGCTCACTTGAGTCACCCAAGTAGATTTTTGTGCATTGTAACTAGCCCTCCACAGTGACTCAACCTTCACTTGCAGCCCACACGCCCCTGTTCACTCTGTGCACAGCCATGTAACTAGGTGTTTTTCAAACTCTTAGGTGTGCACAAAACCCTCTGAAGTTTTGTTAAAACACAGATTCTAAGCCAGCAGGTCTAGGGTAGTATCAGAGATTTGAATTTTTAACACGGTCCTAGGTGACACTGGCGCTACTAGTGTGAGGATCACAGCTGGAATAGCAAGGTTTAACCTGTCTTTGCTCTGGGCCCTGGGCCTGGGAGTTGTGTTCCCTGGTCCTCGAGGTCTGAGAGAAGCTTACCTCGCCATTGAAGAAACAGTAGAGGATGGCCACCAAACAACCCTGGGGAGGAAGGGGACAAAAGAGGTGAGATAGGCCCCAAGAGCTCCCAAGCCTGCCCCAACCCCTGTGTTCCCCTGGTTAAGGAAAGGGCTGAGCACAAAGTACTGGGCCAATACTTATTACAGTGAAAAGACTGGAATCTAGTGACAAGGGACCAAGGCCCTGGGTCAATCCCTTTAAAGGCCAGAGAAGAATGTAGCTTTAAGTCAACAGTTCATACCTGGAAAGACCCCACGAGGAGCTCAAAGACGATTCTCACTTCAGGCTTAAAATTGTTGGGGAAGAAGGCAAACATGATGTAGTGTACTCCAAACAGGGGGATCAGCAGGAGTGTGGACTTGGCCAGCCTCCTGGAGACAGGGGAGGGGCAGGCTGTGGGTACGTGTGTCCATACAATAGGGCCTGGCATGAGTTGCTGGGAGCACAGAGGTGGAGGCAATGGCCAGGATGTGTCAGAACGGACTGTTAGCTCCCCTAAATATTATGCCCAAATTGGCTCCTGTAACATATCTGTGACGCCTCTGCCCTCATACCTCTGGCCCTCCTGGCCTGGAAGGAAGAGTGAGGGAGAAAGAAATCCCCTTTATTTTCACCCTTCTGGAGAGGAGAGTATAAAAGAGGTGCCAGTGAGGTTGACATCTATCAGTAGATTTCAGCTAATAGGGAAATGTTCTCAGGTAACAAAGATCTTGGTTCCCCTGTCCTGGTCTCAGTTTCCCAATCTGTATAATGGGGTAAATATAGGCTAAACATAGTCATATTACAGAAACAGGGGCCCACTATAAACTTGGGAGTTCGTTGAGGCTGTAAAGTGCAGTGCATTCATGAGAGAACAATTCCCTACTGGGAATGAGGACTTCTGGGAAGGAAGTCTTTCTAATTGGGGTGCTGATCACATATGCCTAAGGCTACTTGGGAGGCTGGTGGGTGCCCAAGGTTGTACCCAATCATCAGGAATGACCCAGGGTTAATCAGTGGAGCCTTCTGTCTTTGGCTTTTCTGCTGTGTCCACTTTTCCATGAATTGCTACCTTCTCAGAGATTGCAACCCTCTTCCTCCACCTTCCCATGAAATGCATACACTCCCAGTATGCTCCGAAGGTCCAGCTCCTCCTTCATAGCCTTGTATGCTCAGTGGGGTGGACATTCATTCCAAATGCTCACCTTCTCCCCTGGACAGGTCTCTTAGCCACCTGACCTCATAGCTGGTCTTGGCAGTAGGAGGCCATGGTTGCCTGGCTAGGAGAGGTCTGGGCATGCCGTGGTTAGGGTGAGAGAGAGTCTCTGCCTCTATCTCTCCTGCCTTGGCAGTCAGTTCAGAGAGGACTAGCCTGGGGCCTCAGTTTCCACAGCAAGCTGGCCTTGCCCACCCACCTCTCCTTCTTGGACTTGGTTCCCAAGTCATGCTAAAATCCTGAGCACTGCCCACCCCTTCTTGGCTGCAAACCTATCCCACATGCTGAAGACTGACAGATGGAGGCTTCTTTAAATTGAAGGCTTATGGGGAGGTGGAGAGTGGGAGCTCACAGCCTCTCCTTGAGGAGCCCCATCTCCAGCTCTCCCTACCCGCTCAGCCTGCTCACAGCTGTTTTCTTTCCATCTCACCCACATGGACCTGGCTACAAGCATGACCAACCTCAGATTCGAGCCCTTTCAAGCCTTCCTACGTTGGAGGAAATGAGGCCCCCCTGGGTGTAGAGGCCAGATGTGCTGCCCCTCTGCAGACTGCAGACCCCCCCGGGCCTTTCCTTCTTGAACAGGAAGCAAAGCTCTGCCTACACACCCGGCAGGAGAGAATATTGTAATACCAGGAATGTGAGTCTCAGTCTCATCAAAAAGAGTCACTGGAGTCCAGAATAGAATCCTAAATCCAGCAGCTCGTGACATTCTAGCCGGGAATCTTAGAAACACAGCTTAAACTCCCTATAGAGAAGCCAGGCCAAGAAGAACATTCTAGAACCCCAGGACTGGTAGGCCCTTGTGGGGTGCCCCAGGTTTGGCTTGTGTGCATGGCACTGATATTCAGTCTCCTGCCTTCATCCTTGGGTACGCAGACCCAACTTGTCTTCCCACAGCCTCCCTTTTCATAGCTTCATGTTTCTTTAGCTCTGTCTTGAAGCCTTGCTGCTTCCATGAAAGCCTGCCTGTTCTTCCAAGCACAGGGAACAATCCTCATGCCTTTCTAAGCATTGTGCCCACAGTGATATGCTCCCAAACCCTGAGGAGGGGGGAGTGTGTGTCATTTCCCTCACAGGGGACTGTGTGGATGAAATGAGATAATACAAAGAAAGCCCTCAGCGCATGCCTGGCATATAAACTGCAGATGCCATTAATATTCCTGGGGAATATTGAGTCCTGAATGTGGTCACCTCATTGGTATGCTGGGGGTTCCCTCAGGGCTTTCACCTGCTATGCATGTTGTACCCTTTTTCTGTGCCAGGAACATGCCCAAGATTGGGCATACAGTATGAATAAAACGTAGGTTATCTCTGTCTCCTTGAGTCCCCTGGCTTGGCAGCAGACGCACACCTGGGAAGGATGCTAGACAGTGAGTGCAGGAGAAGCGAGAATGGGCTCTGAGGGCAGCCTGGTAGGGTAAGGCTGGGGCGGGGGACTCTGGTGGGCTGAGCCAGGTCGTGGCGGAGGTGGGCAAGAACAATGTGGCTTTTGGTAACTCTGGATGTTTGGAGTAAGGGGACTTCAAGGAGATGTGAGATGGTTTGAGTACTGGGGATGGAGGTACTGCAGGGTCGGAGCACTGGGCCCCCACTCACGAGTATGGGCTGCTGCCACTCTTCCTGATCTCTGGGGGCTGCAGTTTCTGAACCAGGATTCGGATGATGCGAATAAACAGAATGAAGTTCACCTAGTGGGTGGGACCCAAGGTCAGACAGAAAGGGGAGGCTGGGGTGGCCATTTCCCTGGGCTGCTGGCCTGGCTCTTTCTACAGGATCCTGCTTCACTCCTGCCACCTTCCCTCTTCCCTGGGTCTTCCCCTTCGGGAAGATCATCCAGGGACTCTGCCACACATCCCTAAGGACTGTGCCCCCCTCTACCTGTTTACTCTAGAAGAACTGGTGGATGGGGTTGGGGGTGACACTAATTTCCTGTGTGACTTGAGTTACGTTGCCTCCCACCCTGGAGCTTAGTTTCCCATCTCTAGGTGGTGGACGCCTTACCAAGATGGAGGTGACAATAGGAGTCTTTATGATCCACCACAGTGGGGACTCGATGGTTTCCCAGCATCTAGTGAGTGTGGTGGGAGAGAGTGAGACAGGTTGTCCTCAGCAGAGGCATCAGTCCTCTCATTTGTCCCCTGTCTCTGCCTCCAAGCCCTTTAGAAACCATGGGTCCAGAGTTTTTTGCTCCCCAGGCCCTTCTTCAGCCTCCCCCTCTGGGCCAAGTGCTATGGTTTGTCTACCTCCCGAGCCTGGGTGGCGTCATCAACCCACACAGGGGATCTGTCTCAGTGATGGGAACCAGGGGAGGGGCAGGGCAACAGCTTACCCATCATCCTCAAAATGGAACTTGGCAATGGTCCACACCATGGTGAATGTGCTGGGGACCCCTGTCAGGGTCAGGGGAAGAGAGAGAGGAGGATATAGGAAGCAAGGGGAGAGGGCATGAGGGAGAGATTTAGGAGGAAAAATCAGAAAGGAGGAGGGAGAAAGAATGGGATGGATTTTCATGGCTGCCATCTATGGTTGCCTAGATTATTCACTGTGCAAAGATGTTCCACATACACCTGAGTGCTGTGTCTATAAGTGCTGCTTATAGATTAGCAGTTATCTGTGAGTTTCAGGGGCTGAAGAGGAAATGGAAGGACCTTCACAGAATTTGTCCCATAGCCCTGGGTGCGGCTGCCCGAGGGCACCTCCCTAGGCTCAGACATTTGGGGGACTTTTCTCAACCCTTGGCCAAGGTCCTTGTATACAGGCAGGACCTTCAGCCTAGCAAGATCTAAGATTGCAGGCTGGATTGGCACCTTCCCCCTAGTGAGCTTCCCAGGCCATGTTCCCTCTGTCCCCAGCCTGGGAGCCCTCCCTGGTACCATACCCCAGCCGATGACTATGTACCCCCAGAAGTACTTCCGTTCGGAGAAGAAGGAGATGGCAAGCAGTGTGTGGAGGTAGAGGCCCTCCACCAGTAGCCAGAAGAAGTTGGCCATGACACAGTAATGGAAGAAGACCACGGCTGCCTTACAGCCCACCTGCAGGGGGAGAAGCAAAGAGGAGGCTCACTGGGGCTAGAAGGGGTCCTGGACTGCTTATACCCCTTTCTGGGGTGACAAACCCAGTTATAGTACAGCCAACTTAATTTCTTTGTTATTTTGCATTATCCCCTTAAAAATGTACTCATTGGTTTTCTCATTATCCCTGATTTTAGATCTTCTGATGGGATAAGCTGGTGATTTTAATTATCTAGGCACCAGTTCATCATCTAGCCATCTTCCCATCTCTCTCTGTATATCTACCCATCTACCTGTGCAATCATCCACCCACCTACCCATTTATCCATTTATTTACCCATCAAGGCACTGGACATCCACTACCAACTACCCATCTATCCCTCTTCCATCCATGCATCTATCCCTCATCTATTCATTTTCACCCATCTATCAATCCTTACATCCATTCACCTATCTCTCCATTCATCTACCAATGTACTCAGTCAGCCATCTACCCATCCATCCATGCACCCACATATCAGTCCACTCATGCATTCATCTACCTATCCCCCCACCCACCCCTCTGTCCAATATTCCTTGCTTTATCCTTCTATCCGTCTGTCTGTTCAGCTATTCATGCATTTATTTACTTTGCTATCCACCAGTCTGCCCACTCACTCACACCCCCACTCATTCATCTTATTCCAATTAGGTTAGAAGGCAGCTGGAAGAAGTATGAGGAAAAATTCTTGCTCCAGTTTGCAAAAGTCTGCTGAATGTGCGGGGGTGTGGGCTCTGGACTAGTGAATGGAGGGAGTCCAGGTAGAAGTGTGGAGCAGAGACTGGGTCTGAGAAGAGGGTAGAGAGGGGGGAGTAGAAGTGGAGAAAAGAAAAGGGGAGGGGTGGCCATTCCTCCTGGGGGTCAGGAATGAGTAGGGCAGTTGTGGGGCTTTAGGTGACCCACAAGGCATGACTGGAAGGTCTCTAGGCCCTCTGTCCTTTCCCAGAAAGAGCCTCCCATTTCAGATCAAGCCTAGATGTCTGTGAGCCAGGTTTAAAACCACCCTCCTTCAGGAAGCCTTCTGGCTTCCACATCCCCCTGTATCCAGAACTCTGGTTCCCACCCTTCCTTCCTATACCCTTGGCTTGGAGACATCCTCAGAGACATCTTTCCCTCCCCCACCTTCCCTCCCTGTGGGTAGAAAGTCGATCCTCAGGCCATGCTTCAGTCTTTCCAGCTATAGGAGTGTTTGTTTCCCTGACCTTCCTCCTATATGCTTTGCAAGAACAACTAAGCTCTTTAGGAGGGCGGTTATCTATGCTCTCACCTTGCCTTAGAAAAGCTTTATAGAGGGCAGCACCTGTAGCTCAGCGGGTAGGGTGCTGGCCACATACACTGAGGCTGGTGGGTTCGAGCCCAGCCTGGGCCTGCTAAACAGCAATGACAACTGCAACCAAAAAAATAGCGGGGTGTTGTGGCAGGCACCTGTAGTCCCAACTACTCAGGAGGCTAAGGCAAGAGAATTGCTTAAGCCCAAGAGTTTGAGGTTGCTGTGAGTTGTGATGCCACAGCACTCTACTGAGGGTGACATAGGGAGACTCTGTCTCAAAAAAAAAAAAAAAAAGCCTTATAGAACATAGTGAATTCGGAAGACAGTCTTCAAAATTTCCTTAACAAATGCACAGGAGGCTACAAGCTGTGCAGTAGCCCCCAGATCCTGGGATGGATCCTCTGAGGAGCTCTGGGGCTGGCCATGGTAGTTCTCCTGGTTTTTTTCCTCCCCCTTGTTGAGATGCCTAAGATTCCACTATCATGGTTCCCCTCTTTGAGGAGAAGGTACTGCTGAGCCTTATATAGTGGGATCACTCACGAAGCAATAAGTCACTGACCACAAGGAATGGGTGGGAGCTAGGGCCAGCTTCAAGCTCTCAGTCTTAGCTCAGGGGCACTCAGCAAGGGGCCCTTAGCTCAGAATCACCTGGACCCTTAGTGACTAGAGATCAGCATCCTTAGATGCTTCCTCAACTTTCCTTCCCAAGGAAGGCCCAGAAATGGCCTAATATCAGGGGCTGGACAGAAGAGGAGGACTGCAGATGTGTGAACCCACTCCTGATGGCAAGGAGAAGTCTGGGGCACAGTGTGGAGGGTGGCATGGTGAGCAGAGCCTTGGGTATATAGATGGCAGAGAGCAGAGTCAGAAGGCCTTGGACTCCTTGCACGGGGAAACTGAAGAAGTTCCCCAAGGCCACAGAGGAAGTTAGCAGCTGGGGTGGGACAGAGGTCTGGGCTGTGGCCATGAAGTGTCCCATTTCCATCTGCTTTTCTCATTGGCAGGAGCCGGTCTAGGAGCTCTCAGATGGCTGAGCAACATCTGCTGTAGCTGGGAAGGGAGTGAGATTTGAGAGGCTGCCATGTGGGACTAGATGGGGGTTTGTCCATCTTGGATTGAGAGAGAAAGAGTGGGGTAGGGGAGGGAAGAGAGAGAGGACAGGCAGGAGGAAAAGAGGAGATTTAGGTGATTAAAGATGAAGGTGAGACTGGGGAAGGTGGGCCAGAGCAGAGGTCCTTACCAAACCCTCAGAGCACTGGTCCAATACGCTGCTGTTGTCGAGGGCCAAGTCTTTGATGAAGACAGAGGCAGCTCTCAAGATGAAGGATATGAAGAGGTTCAAGTGGATGTAGTTCCGGGTGCAGCGGAGCTTCCTGCATGGTATGGGCAGATCTGGGAGGCTGAAGGGCCTTATACCTCCAACTCAGTCCACATTAGCCTATGTTCTCAGCAAGTGGGTACTGGGGAGCAGAGTGCAGGCCCTATCTTGAAGGGGACCCCATCCTGAACTGTGGGCTGTGCCCAGGTACCCCATCCTCCTGTGCAGCTGAGCCTCTAAGTGCCTCCACCTTAAGTTTGGCCCTGCTCCAGAAACCTCATTTCAGGGTGCAGGCCCTGCCTTCTGGTCCCTATCCCCAGGCACAGGGTCATCCTATGGGGACCAGGCTGCAACAGATAGAATACCTTGTCCACCTGCTATCTCTATCGGAGGCTGGGCTGGCAGGGGGGCTTGGGCAAGGATTGCATCCTATCCAGGGCTGCGAGGGTGACAGTAGAGGGGACAGGACACACCTGGGCCAGTCTAGGTCTCACCATGGGAGTGACACTTGCAGGTCTGTTTGAGCCCCATTGCTTGGGCCGGACCTCACCTGAACAGGCTCAGTATAGCTGTGGCAACTAGAAGGGTAGCAAGGGACAGGCTGTAGCCAATAGTGTAGCCGGTCTTCACAGAACTGTAGAACATTATCTGTTGCTGCTGGAGGAAGATGAGGAAGGATTTGGAGTAAGAGTTTGAGAGGTGACCCAGGGGTTATTGGCAGGAGTGCCCTGCCTTGGCAGCTAAGGAGGCTAAGGCCTGGGGCTCCCAAGAGCAGCTGAGGGGCACCCTTCAATCCCCTGACCCCAAACACTCCAGTTTCCAGGGAAAAGGATAGGACTGCCTCTCAGGGTGGGGAGGGGCTGCATTTACTTTTTCCTTCCTGATTCACCAGGGATAAGTCAATAGAGAAAAGAGTAAAGACCTCATACATTTTATTTATTCATTTGTTCCTTCTTCAGCTCTGTGCTCGATACCACTTCTGTGCCAGCTCTGGGCTCAGCACCCTAGAGGACCCCCACATGAGGCCCTCTCTCTGGACGCACACAGGGAATGCGGAATGTTACAGACACTGGACCTAATTTCCCATTTTGGGCTCTCAGGGGCTGGGGTCAGCAAGATGAGGGCAAAGTGGCCTTTCTAGGGGAACAAAGCTGGGCCCCAAAGGCTTCTTGCTTGGTCCCTCTCCTGATGCCCTCCACATGGACACAGGGAGAGAGCAATTGTCACTGGGAAGCCCCTCCTTCTCTTCCACCTCTCATACCCTCCCTGAGCACAAGCAAGTGATTAGGAGGGATTTAGGGGAATTAGGGGATAAGGCCTCAGTGGGCTTCAAAGGCTCTAAGAAGTTGCTGCCCCCTTAGGAGGAATGAAAGCCCTGTCTGGGAAGGGTGGCTGAGGGTGAGGCAGATGTCATCACAGACAGACACATATGTGTTTATACCTCAAAGCAGTGCGGTATGGAGCTAGGGACTCCTAGCTGAGGCCCCCAATTCTACTCCAGCCTCCCCATCAATATCCCTACTTGGCTCCCCATGCTCCTGCAGAGAACACCTGTGCTTTATCTGCTGAGGGACTGAGGACAACAGGCCCTGTTCCTGTCCCTGTCCCCGTCCCCAACTGGCTTTTGGGTATCCAAGGCTGGCTCCTTCTAGGACATGTACCTCAGCTTCTAGATGTGACAGGGTGATGGTATCTGCCTGCTAGGCCACCTCCAGGGCTGAAGGCAAGCCTCCTGCAAGGCAGTGGGGGGCCCAGCCTGGGGCTGCTGCTTCAGCTTGTGCTGCCCTGGGGACCACCTCCTGTGCATCATCCTAGGGAAAGCCTGCTCCCACTCCCTGCCAGGGCAGCCGTGGGATGAGTCCCCAGAAAGGAGGCAGCTGAAGGAGAGAGACCCCACCAGGCTTGGGTCCCACACAGGCAGCAGCATTCTGTGGGCAAGGGTGAAATGCACCTGGGTAGGGGTTGGGTAGGGATGCGCTGAGGCCCACCTCATGTAAACTCGACGAGTTCTCATCTGGGCCACAGGCGGTGGAGTAAGAGCTGGGCTCCAGGGGCGTCCAGCCTTCATCAGTACAGTTGCGGCTCACCTTGCGGTCTGGGTGGAGGGCTGGGACAGGGAGGAGGAAGGCTAAGGCCAGGAGTAGCCACAGGGGACTGGCTGTCTCTATGGTTGGCACAGGGCAGAGAACTTAGCCCTACTCCCCTCAAGCCTGGTGCTGTCAGGCTCCAGATGCCTGGACCCAGACACTCAGGGCACCATAGGGGCACCTGGGGCAGGGAGAAGCCCCTGCAGAGATGCTGAGGGCCCTACTGCAGATACCAGCATAGGAAGAGACATTCCTGGGCTCAGTCCTACTACCCCTGTCATGGTCTGAACCAGACCCCAGGGACAACATAAATTCTAATCCTGTCACAGGCTCTGCCTGGATCCTTGTCACAGAATGATCCCCAACCCTTGCCATGAGCTGAATGCTGACCCCTGTTGCAGGACCACAGCTGAGGTTGGGGCACATGCCTGCCTGGGGCCTTTGAGGCTGGGCTTGCCTCCCATAACTGGTGGAGCTCAGATGTGCAGCTGGGAAGGCACCAGAGGTGTGGGTGTAGGGTGGGGGTGGGAGGACACCTGGTAAGGGTGAGATCTGAAATCCTTGTACATGGAGAAGCAGGGAGTTTGTAGCAGGGGCACCTGCCTGGGCAAAGTGTGTGAGCAGGGGATCAAGCAGCACTGCAGTGCAGGAGTTTGGGGTAAGAGCAAGTCGAGGCTGGGGCGGTGGAGCAGCTGCACTCTCCTCTATTCCTTGGAAGCTCAAGGCTGCAGCAAAGGGACAGGACCACTTAAGGGGGCATGTGAAGTGAGGTACCACTGAGGCTCACCACAATCTCCAGCCCTGGGAAGGTGTCCTCTCCCCTGAGAGAGAGAAGGGTTGAATAGGCAAGAGGTGAGACAGAGAAGAATCCCCCCCTTAGTACTCATTCATCACCAGCACCATCACCACCACCATCACTGTCAGCAACACCACTATCATCAGCTTCATCGTGACAATTTCTGAGAACTTTTCACATGTCAGAGAACTTTAGACACATCCTACTTAATTGCCTCAACCATCCAACAAAGAATGTCTGTTCATTTCACAGTTGAGAAGTAGAGATCCCAAGAGGTGGGTCTCCTTGCCCTGGGCTACACAGAGTGGACAGGGTAGAGTTGGTCGGGACTCTTGAGTCTTCCCAGGTAAGTGTGGCACTAGCCTGCACTGAGATGACCTGGGGATTTATTTCAGAGTCCAGGGGCAGAGGTGGAGGAGGGGTCAAATTGTCCTGTGAGTGGTCACAGGGCGCATGTGTTTGATATTCCCAAGCTTTGCTGCATGCTGGGAATATACCAGATGATTCCATATTCACTGTTTCTGTAAACCTCCTGGCAACCCTTTGAAAGCAGTCTTTCACTTTATTTTATGGATGAGGACCTGAGGGCTGGCTGGGGCTACAGGAGGGGCAAAAAAGCAGCCCAGGGATGGGTCTATTTCTATTGAATGGCCCAGGGAAGGCAGGAAGGTCTTTGCTGAGGAAGTGGCATTGGCCTAGGCCAGTTTCTTGCCTTGGCAGCCCCTTTTCTGCCCTGAGTTCCAACCACACTGCTGCAAGAGGCTCCTGGGAGAGGTGAAAGGTCTTCAACAGCCCTCACCCAGCCCACTCAACTTCCTGATGTTGCAGCCTGAGGTGGGCCTGGCTTGGAGGCTTCAGTCCAGCTCCTCTTCAAACTGCAGGTGTGGCCCCAGCCTTGGTTCTGAGGAGCTCACCATAGGCTCTAAGGCCATGGCTCCCACCCAGGATCTGATTCTTTTGGGGACTTACCCTCACCAGGCTTAGATGGGTAGAAAAGAGGAATAAGGCCCAAATCACTCAGCCTTGAAGGTGGGCCTCTAAAGCTCTGGGCTTCCTACTCACCAGAGAGACCAGGGCTTTATGAGACCAAGCCCAGGAACAAGGAGCTCCTGGTATCATGAATTGTGCTAGCAGTGCCAGGTGACTCATCAGCAACTACACAATCTACATGGCAGCTTCACGTTTGTGTATGTGTGTGTAGTGGTGTTAAGGTGTTATGGTGAGGGATCAGGAGTTCCACTAAAAGCTGGGGATCCCAAGGCTAAGAGAAGCTAGGTGACTTGTTCTTGGTCACATAGCAAGGACGTAGCAGGCCAGGGTCTCCAGACCTTTCTAGGCTCCCAGCAATGGCCAAAAGGGCATTCTGTCCCCTGGAGTCCTGGCTACCATCACTGGTGGGGCAGGGGAGGGGATAATGGGTCATCTTTAGGGCTAAATGGCCTCTTTGAATAGCTCTCAGACTGTGCTCAGGTGGCAAAGTGATCTTCTCTCAAGCAGATCTCAAAGGCAGTCACCATGGTATCCTGAGAAGCAGCCAGGCTGGGAACTGGTAAGCCCTGTGTCTGTGGAGGGAGATATGGAGTGCAGGAGGGAGGTGACCAGGGACTTTAACCCTGTACCAGAAGGATACCTCCATTCTCCCAGCCTCCTTCCACTCACGTGTTTCAAAGAACAGTCACAGCCCTTGCTCCTCCCTGGGGTTCTACATCTTCTGAGAAGTATCACTCAATACTAGAGCCAGAAATTGGGGGATGGATGATTTTCTCCCCACTTCCTTCCCCTGTTCCCCATCTGTGACTAGTTCTGTCTCAGCCTCTCTTCCCTTAACACCACCACCATTTTTTCTCCCTTGTGTTTTTATTTGTTTCTTTTTGAGTCAAAGTCTTCCTCTGTTATGCTGGGTAGAGTACAGTGGCATCATCGTAGCTCACTGCAGCCTCAAACTCCTGCACTTTAATGATCCTCCTATCTCAGCGTCCCAAGTAATAATACTCAGGTATTAATACTGAGTAGTAATACTCAGGTTTGTGTCTATTTTTAGAAGACATAAGGTCTCACTCTTGCTCAGGCTTGTCTCAAACTCTGAGCTTAAGCAATCCAGTTACCCTATCCCTCCAGAGTGCTGTGCCAGGATAACAGGTGCGAGCCACTACGCCTGACCATATCTCCTCTGTATTAGATAGAAGCCTCTGGATGGTCCTGTTTTTCTACCCACGCCCCAACCAGCTTTCCACCCTAAAACAGCTGGGAGGATTGTTCTAGCACCCAGACCTGACCACCAAGCTCTCCTGCTGAAATTCCTCCTGTGTGCCCCATCCCAGCCAGCAAGGGCAAACTTCTTGCCCTTGGTACCAAGATGTCCTTGTTTGTGACATTATGACATGTAGGTGGTGGAGAGAGGTGTCCCATAGACTCCACAGACACGGTGATCAGAGGTGTCTACTGAGTTTTCTCAACCAAAATAGCCATTCCATTTTTTATTCTAAAAAAAGTCTCTTTATACACTCTTCACTGCAGGTATGAGTAATAGAAAAAAAAAAGTCCGTTTAACTATTTGACGGTAAAGACCCCACAGATGGAAGATATGCAGACTATATGTTAAAGAAGGAAGCCGCCATGAATTCTTTGGTGCCTTCACCAGCAATCCCTTGCCACCTCCTCCAGCTGTTTTATGCAGCAGGGTACATGGCTTCGTCCTAACCCCTCACGATTTTTATCCTCTATTAGCTTTCTTCAGCTTTCCCTGTAGAAGCAGGTCTCTTCCTTGGGGAATATTCCTCCCCTAGTCCTGTATCCACAGATGTGGGAGTTGGGGTGGGGAACATCCTACCCTACACTCACAAACTTATCTCTTTGGAATTTAAGGTCAGTGGTTCACACCTTCTTCATCTAGTTGCCCAGGAAAGCACCTTTTTGTCTCTACATATTCAACCCCTAATCAGTCTCCTATTTCTCTCCACCATTTTCAAAGACTGGGTCCATCATGTATAGCTGTGCATGTTCACTACACAAGGACATCTGGCTGATGGGCATGGGGGCTAAAATTGACTTTACATTCAGCTACCACTGTATGGGCTCTAGTGAGAGGTGATTCCACCTGAGTGAGGAGGGACTGACTTTTCTTGTCTGCACAAAAGCACCATATGGACCCCATTGTTGCTGGCAGCCTCAGGGTTAGCCAGACAGTGGGCTGGAGTCCAGGTTCTCAAGTGAAGGCGCTGCCTTGACACATTCCAGCAGGGACAGAAGGAAGAACTGTAGGGAGGAATGCAATTAGCCTGAGTATGAGGGAGGAAGGCAATTAGCAGGTGCTTCCAGAGATCTAAGAGAAGGCTGGCTTCCAGGCTCTGCTGATGGTTTGCACTGTGTGGCTGCTGGAGGAACTCCCCTCTGACCTGCCCAGGCACTGGGTGCCCCTGGAGGAGAGCTGCCAGGTGGGTGCTGGCCTGGTCAGGCCCAGGGCTCTGTCTGCTCCCAGCCTCCTCAGGGGGGATTTAGGGTCTGTTCTTCAACACTGAGGTTACAGTACCAAGCACTAGGGGCAAAACTGGCCCACCCCAAAGAGACTATTTGTTCCACCTCCCACCCCCACTTTATACACAGAGAGACTGGAGTTCAGGGACAAAAGATCAGCTGGAGTGAGAGATGCCTGAGTCTTTTGGCTAATCCTCTGAATCCTTATCTAGGGCCTACTCCTGGTGGATCCTCCCCACCCCGACCTGCTCCTTCCTCAGTACTTCCACCCAGTCCTGATCCTCCCTCAATCTTCTCCACCCCAGTCCTGGTCCTCCCTCAGTCTTGCCCACCAAGTCCTGATCCTCCCTCAATCCTCCCTTCCCAGTCCTAGTCCTCCCTCAGTCCTGCCCACCCAGTCCTGATTCTACCTCAATCCTCCCCTCCAGTCCTGGTCCTCTCTCAGTACTTCCCACCCAGTTCTGATCCTCCCTCAATCCTCCCTTCCCAGTCCTGATAGTTCCTCAGTACTTCCCACCCAGTTCTGATCCCCCTTCAATCCTCCCCTCCCAGTCCTGATCCTCCCTTAGTCCTCCCCTCCCAGTCCTGGTCCTCCCTCAGTACTTCCCACCTAGTCCAGAGCTTCCCTTAGTCCTCCCCACCTAGTCCTGATCCTCCCTCAATACTCCCCTCCCAGTCCTGGTCCTCTCCCAGTACTTCCCACCTAGTCCTGAGCCTCCCTTAGTCCTCCCCACCCCAACCCGCTCCTCCTTTAGTTCTCCCAACCCAGTCTAGCTATTCCCCATCTTGCTCAGCTCATTAAACCTAGACCTGGGAAGGGGGCACAGTTGATTCCTCCTTCCCCTTTGCTAGTCTTCCTGCCCTTCATAGACAAATCCACACTTTTCTCCTCCACCATGCTCTGTGCCAGAATCCAAACTATCATCATTACTTACTTGACTTGCAATTGGGTTTCCCATTTATACTCCTAGAATCCTTCCTTCTCATAGAAACTAGAACTGTCAGTTAAAAACCTAAATTGGACTGTGCCAGTCCTCTGCTTAAAACCTGCCAGTGGCTTCTCACTGGACTTAGGAGAAAACCCCACATCCTCACCTCAGTTCCAAAGGTCCTGTGTGGCCTGGCCCCTGGCCCTCATCTCTTCCCTCCCCTATGCTTGTTCCGTGGACTATTGATTCTCTCTCTTGATTTTCTTCCCACCTACCATCTCTGCCTGGTGCTTCCTTTTCACCTCCAGGTCTTTAGACAGCACGAGAGTTGTCTGTTACCTTCTGAGAGGGGCTGTTCATGAATACCAGCCTTTTGTCTCTCCTACCCTCCTTTTTCTCTCTCCCGGCACTTGTTATTTATGACATTTGTTTGTTTGCTTACTATCTCTCCAATTAGAACATTAGCTCTGAAAGGGCAGCCCAGGGGGCCTGTTTTACCACTATGTCCAGCCCCATGCCTGGCATTCCAGTGGGTGCTTTATTCACTGCGGGAAAGAATGACCCAATATCTGTTGCCTCTTTAAGGACAAGCAGCAAGAAAGCCCACTTCCTGGAGGAGCTCCTCCTTTTGTATGTGAACATTCATTTAAGCAGAACGTGAAGGGGTGTGCAAGCAAAGCCGCGCAGCGGTTTCACCAAGCTGGAGAGGTCACTGGCTCCTGGCAGCAAAAGACTGAATCATGACCAGCCCAAGACAATAGGAACATGGGAAGCATAATTTAGTCAGGTGCTTGTCAGTCAATCAGTTATCATTTGTTGAGCAAATATTTGGTGAGCTTTTCCCACATGCTTATCTTTATGTGAAGAGCTAATCAAATCCCAGGAGTCCTTCAAAGACCCAGCGCCATTGCCTTTTCTGCCAGGAAGCCCTCAGCATGCTGTAGCCCCTGTAGCCACTTTCCTCTGCCTTCCCTCTTCCTGGGTCCCCGCCCCCGCTGGGCTCACTCACAGCACTGAAGCTTCCCCCCTCCCTTCAAACCAGGGCTCTTACCTTCAAAGGGGAAGAGGAGCTTGAAGATGGAGGGACAAGCCAAGACGACCACCTGGTCCTGAGGAGTGGCTGGCCAGCAGGTAACGTTGTCCCACATCTTGCTGCAGCCTGAGGGGTGAAGGCAGAAAACACATTGGTCAGCATGGTCCCCAGATGCCTCCAGCCCTGTGGCCGGAACCCACAAACACCCACTCTCTTCCTCCTGCTATGAGTCTCTTACCTCAGACTGAGGTTTGGGGGGGCACGGCCCTGCCCAGACTAGACAGGGCCCATCTGATAAGGAGGCAGGGAAAGGAGGCATGACTATAGCTCGCTGGTCCTCAGTGAGGGATGGGGCGCACTGTGGGCGTGTTTTGAACACTGGTCGGGGGCCTCATCTGGCGATGCCAGGCAGGCAACCCAGCTGGTCCGGAACCATGAAGAATTGTCTCATGTTCCGTGGGGCCTTGTGTAGCCCCTGTGCATCTTATAGATAAAAAGCTCATAAGGACCACGGCCTAGACTCTTACTCCATTTTATGTGTAAACACAAGGTATTCATTGCCCATGTTTAACAGAAATGCAACTTTGTTGTGTTTGGAACCTTACTAAAAGTTGTTTAGTGTTTTGGAAAATCATGTTACCTACCTACAGCAGTGCTGTTCGTGATATGTGAGTTACTGATACAACCACTTCCACTTATCAGTCTGCATTTATAGATCTCAGATTTCTGGAGCTTATATTTAAGTACAACCTATAAATAGAAATTTCTAGGTACAACCTAAAACTACATCTTCTTTTAATGCAATCATGCCTGAACATGAGCACGGTATTTGATTATAAATTTCAGTCCTTGCCTTTTGTTCCTTCACATTATAGCTAGAACATTATTTTCTATAAAAGTGATAGTAAAGGAGGCATTAGAAAATGTCGTAAAAAAGATATGTTGGGTACAATGGAGTGACGAGTATATTGATTGGGGTATAGCTAGTTCTTGAGCAACATAGGTGCTCAGCAACACTGGGCAGCAAAACTCAGATCCCAAACGGGGATGGTGAAGGGGTTGTCAGAGAGTGAGATCAGAGAAAACTGTGTGTGGCGGGCCTTGTTCTCTGCTGGGTAGCCATCAGCCCTGCAAAGCCTGGCAGTGATGGGGTGCAGGGTGGGGCCAAGGGTCTGCTTTAATAGGCAGATGCAAATGCCACACTTTGGTCTATTTAGGAGCTGAGAACTCCTGGAGCACAAAGACTACTCTGGACCTCCTCCCTTGAGGGAGGCTTAATTGTCTCTTTGCAATCCTGCCAGTTCTAAGATTTGCTCAGGAAACCCAACCCCTGAGCCAAAGTCAACGCCTGCTGGGCCCAACCCAGCCCAGCCCAAGTCCGAAGGTTCAGAAGTTCCCAAGAGAAGGGTCCAGGCAGAGGAGGTGGAAGGATGTCCTCACTTAGGGAAGAGCCTGGGGACTCTGAGTGATAGAGTGGGCTGGCAGCAGGAAGGGGTACCTGCTGGGACTGTGGCAGTCTGGTGACACCTGTAGCTAAAGGCTGAGGAAACCTGCATCTCCTTAGGGCCTGGCTAGAGAGTACTGCTTCCCTTCCTCATGACCCCAACCATCCCCACCCCTGCCTGTCCTGAGGGCTCCTGTGGGCTTGTTCTGGCTGCCAGTCCATCTTCTATTCTGTGCCAGCCTCTCTGGAGGCCACGTAGGGGCCCCCCAGACCAGTCAAATCTTGCTCATGGTTCAAGACCTTCGTAATAACGTCAGCAAACACTTACATAGCCTGTGCATGTGCCTGGAACTATTCTAACCTCTTTAAATTAATGATATACTTAACTCTTCCATTTCACAGATGAGGAAACTGAGGCACAGAGTGGTTAGGCAACTATCCCAAAGTCCCATCTCTGGTGAGTGGTGCAACCTATTCACAGGTTTCCTCTCCTGGTCAGAAGGGCTCGATGTCATTTCTCTGGGAATTTTGCTGCTACTGGACTTTGTTTACCCTTCTCTGACAGTGCCGGGCACACCCTGTTTTGTAGGCCAGCTATTGTGTCTGGGTTCCTGCCAGATGGCGGGCTTTCTGAGTCTCCAGCTGCCAGCACAGGTTGGAGAGTAGATTCAGGGCTGGGCCTCTGGCCCTGAGCTCTTCTTTACCAGGGGTGGGACAGAACAGAGAGAGACCAGCCTTGCCCTTGGGAGGCCACACTTGACCTCAAGGAATCTCAGCATAACCAAGACAGGGCTGTGAACTGGTGCTACATCAGTGAGCAGGGCAGGGCAGCCACAGAAGGGAGCCGCAGCCACAGAAGGGAGCCACAGCCACCTAGGGAATGTTGTCAGGGAAGCTTCCTAAGGAGGCAGGACAAGGCTGCTTTGCTTAGGCAGCAGGGTCAGGCAACAGCAGTGGAGGGGGTGACAGTCATGAAAATATTTGGTACCTGGAATGGGCTTTTGTCCTGGCTGGGCTCTGGGAATATTTTGTGTGTGCTCACTGCAGGGAGGCCCCACAGACCTCATCACACATCACCAGGCCCATAGAGACAAAGGGTCCCTACACTGTGTGTTCCTATCAGGGGCTGTGACCCTAAAAGGAAAGCCCAACCCCAAGCTGGGGGTGAGGGATGGTGAGGCAATATCGAGGGGCCTTTGCTGACTCATTTCAAGACTTGGGTTCACAGACGCACGCTGACATCCATGCTGACACACATGCAGACACGCTGGATGTACACTTCCCTGGATGTGGACAGACACAAGTAAAAGGGACCCAGAGACACACAACATGCAGAGCCGTAGATGCATGTCTGGGTATACCACCAACACGCATACTACTAAACACACTTCCAAACAGATACAACACACCGGGCAGACACGTCTAGGCATGTGCAGGCTTAAAAACACACACTCCTGACTTGCAGAAACACTCAAAGTCAGATACAGAATTACAGACCCTAGAGGCACAGACAGCGTCCTAGACAGATGTAGGCCTGGAGTACACAGCTCGTTGTTCAGGAGCACACACAGATCCCACACAGGGTCACAGGCAGACCACAGTCCCTGACCATGCCTGCCCTCCTCTGGATCCTAGACTGCTGGTGACAGAGTGTTGGCACCCAACAGGCATGCTGTGCCAGCAATGACCTCATCAGAATCACGAGGTGGCCTGCCCCAGGGCCTGGGAGGTGATGCAGAGAGGCCTAGAGTCTGGGGTCTGGGCCTCTATGGGCTGCCCATAATCCAGCTGTTGGGGCCTTCTGGAGGCCTGTCTGTGGCCTGGGCCTGTCTCCCTGCCCTGGTGGGGTAGGCTGGGGCACATAGGTAGTGTCAGGTACAGCCACCCCTTGACCCAGGCTTCAGCCCCTCCCCCCCCAGGAAACAGGGGCTCATCCTGCCTTGAGACCCAGGGCAGGTGGCTGAGAGCTGGGTACCTGGGCTAAGGTTAAGAATGGGGAGTTGGGGGGGAGTCATATGCCTGTTGGCCTCAGAAGGGGGACAAGGGAGCCCAGGAGCTGGGAAGACATAAAGATGCTCCCTGCTCCTGAGCAAGGCTGTTCCACCACTAAGTTCAGCCTCAGGGTGGGGGAGTGACTCAGGATGGAGGCCCAGAGCAGGCACAGCTACAGCCACCTCACTGTCTCTGGCCTGAGGTGCCAGTCCTCCCAATCCCTTGCATGGGCCTTGAACCTGGCACCCACCCCCCCGTTCCTGTGGGCAGTCTGCCTAGGTGCCTTCTACCTTCCCAGGCTCTCTGTCTCTCCAGACCTGCCCACCCCTCCAAATCTGGCTTAAGCGGGATCTTTCTGAGGAATTCCTCCCATTCTCACCCTGGGCTGCTCTGAGCCATGTGGGGCTGGTGGCGCTGATACCTGGTCTGGGGAGCAGCCACCACCCTCACACTGCCAGGCTGAAGCTCTCATGGACCCTTGAGGGAGTAGTGGCTCCCCATGTGCTCAGCTTCTGAGGCTGACCTTGATTTATCTAAGTGGCGGGATAAAGTGCTGATGGTTCCTCTAGCTTGCTAAGGGTGGGTTGGGAAGGGAAGGCCAGTGTGCCCACCTATGTATGCCTAGGGGCCTGTATGTGTGTGGGGGTGGGTGGGGGGAGCTCACCATCAGTCCTCTGGGTGTCCTGATGGCAGAGCCTAGGGTTGAGAGGAAGAAGCTGGGAACCAACCTAACCCCAGAGAGTATTCCAGACCTGTCTGGACTGGGCTGGTTCCTTTTCTTTTTCTAAACTGCCAAGATGACTTCAAGCTTCTAAGTCTCTATGGGGTTCACACACTGTGACTGAATGTGCCCTGTTCTTCCTTTGAGATGCTAACACAGTACAGTACAAGGGTCTAATGCAGGAGAGTGGGGTTCTAGGGCCAGTTCACCTCACCCCAGCCCCACTTTGGGCTGGGCAGGCAGTTCCTGGAACTTGCCTACTCTCAGTGTCCCTGGACCCCCACCACACAGCATCCTGGGTGGGATGGCAGTCATGGGCATCATCTCCATTTTTCCTGAGCAGTAGGCATCCCCAAAGGCAGAGTTGGCTCCATGTACTTTCCAGAACCTCAATTTAGTCTGTCCTCTTCAGCTGCTGCCAGAGCTCCCAGACCTGAGCTGGGTGATGGGGACATGGAGGCCAGTCAGCCCCTTCCTTCTTCCATCTGGCACCTCCAGGCCCTCCTCACTGGCCAGTAGTTCCATGATGTGATCCCCGCCTGGGGTCCCCATCCAACAAATGTGGAGTGAATGTGACTTGAGCGGGGGCTCGTGAAGTGAGGAAACACGGGCCCGCGCGGCCTCACCTGCGGTCTCGTTCTCCAACTGGGCCTCCTCCAGGCACTGCCTGCGCTGCTGCTCAATCGTCCGCCGCAAGTCACACTCCTGGCGCAGAATGGCTGCCCTGCTGCCCTGGGGGAAAGAAACAGGGAGGGGCTTCATCAGCCTTGGCCACGGGCTCAGGAGTGGGGGGCTCTGGGCCCAGTCACTGCTGAAACGGCTCTTGCTCTGGTGGGGATCCAAGTTTGGCTGAACTCTAATCCCAACCCCAGACTGCA